GGAAACCAGGTTTTTTGAGTAGCCTGCCTCCGGATCCCGATCGGGTATAACACAATCCTCGATCGGGTATGTGTCTTTTTCTACGTTTTGAGGCCTGTACTCCTTCTTTTGGCCATACCCGACCGAGTATAAGGTGGTACTCGATCAGGTATGTCCCCAGATGCTTCAAAACAGGCATTTTTTTTCTTCTTTTCCTCCAAAAACCCGTGATTAGTTCCCTCTCTCACTGATCTCTCAAATAATTAAACAAAAAAATAAATTTTAAACACTCAAATTAACGAAAAAATAAACTTGGGTTGCCTCCCAAAAAGCGCCTTAGTTAACGTCATGGCACGACGTTATTCTTTTTTTTAAGTGGGATCGTGAACATCCCTTGTTTCATTTTTTGCGGCCTTATTTAGCCATTTTTCAATTTTATTTTTCGGCCTTTTCCAGTAAGGTCGAATTTTCTTTTTTGTCACCACCTCAAGTGTAGGTGGTTTTAATTTATCGTGTGGCGATTTCATCCATTCGCCATTTTCCAAAACTGGTTTTTGTTCAATTTGCAATTCTTCAAACATTTTGCTTTTGCCGCCTTTAACAAAAACATGTGATGCTCGTGGTTCAAAAACATTTAAAGAAAAAAGAGATTGATCTTTAATTTGTTTTTTCGTAGAATCAAAGATATTAAATTATACTTTTTGGTCATCAAACTCTAAAGTTAATGAACCATTAGATACGTCTATTTTTGTTTTGGCGGTTTTTAGAAAAGGTCTATCCAAAAGGATGGGTGTTGTTTGGTTGTCATCTCCCATTTCAAGTACGTAGAAGTTAACAGGGAAAATCAAATTTTCTACTTCTACTAGCACATCTTCTATTACACTCTTCGGGTAAGTATTAGACCGATCCGCTAGTTGAATCACTACACCAGTTTGATGTAGTGGGCCGAGTTGTAAGGATTTATATAAGGAATAAGGAATGACATTTATTGATGCTCCTAAATCCAACAAGGCCTTAGAAAAATTGGTGTCCCCTATTTTGCAAGGAATGGTGAACATGCACGGATCGCTACATTTCTTAGGGAGTTTCTTTTGAAAAATGGCCGAGACACGTTCACTAACCTCAACCTTTTGTTTCCCTTCCAGATTATTTTTCTTTTTCATTGTGCATAGTTCCTTTAAGAACTTTGCATAACGAGGAACACTTTTGATCAGTTTGAAGAGTGGGATGTTTACCTCAGAATCGGCGAAGGTCTCGTAGATGTCCTGATCATTCTTCAGCTTCCTCGTGTCTTTCAATGCCTCAGGGAATGGAGAGAGTGGTTCATAAGATGAAAGTGGAGGGAATTTAGTTTTCGTTGGTTTCTCCTCTTCCGGTTGAAAGCCTTCTTCAAGATCAACCTCTTGCTTCTCCTCCTCAACTTCCCATGTTTGCAATTCTTTACCGCTCCTCAACATGATTGCATTGACATGTTGTCTTGGATTTTGCTCAGATTGGGAAGGGAGCCTACCCGATTCTTTTGCTTCAAGACGACTTACGACACTTGAAATTGGGCTAACTTGAGTTTCCAAATTTTGAATGCTCGACTTGGTTTCATGTTGGAATTGCATCATGATTTGTTGGAATTGCCCCATTCTTTGCTGCATTGTTCCCATATTAACGGCCAGTGCTCGAATCATGTCTTCGGTGGACATACTCGAGTTCGATGTTTGGCCTTGTGGTTTATATTGTTGAGGAGGAGGGTTTGTTTGTTGTCGAGAATTTCCGTACCTTAAATTCGGATGATCTCTCCATCCCGGGTTGTAAGTATTGCCTTGAGGATCGTACCTCCTTTGACCTTGGAACCCCAAAGCATTGACTTGCTCGGAGTTCTCTTCTTGTAGCGTTGGGCAGGAATCAGTGGGATGCCCCTGTGTTGAACATATGCCGCAGACCTTGGCTTCTTGGGTTTTCAGATTTAAGAGAAAATATTTTACCAAAGAAGTCAAGCCGGCCACTTGACTTTCTAACGAATTGTTGGATTCTGCTGCCATGACTCATTTTGATGATGACCTCCCGTTGTAATGTCTCGAGTTTTCGGCCAACTCCGAAATGAGATTCCTAGCTTGGGAAGGGGTTTTGTTGACAATCCCCCCTCCAGATGCTGCGTTTACAAAGCGTCTATCTTGCTCCGCAAGACCGTCATAGAAGTAGAGGATGAGGTCTTGCTCTGTGTAACCATGATATGGGCAACTAGCACACAATTTTTTAAAACGCTCCTAATATTCATATAATGTCTCATCATCTTTTTGCTCGATGTTGCTTATTTGTTTTTTCAAAGATGATGAGACGGATGCAGGGTAGTACCTTTCTAGGAAGCATTTTTTCATTGACGCCCATGTATCTATGCTCCCCGAGGGAAGATAAAATAGCCAATCTTTGGCGGTGTCTTTGAGGGAGAATGGGAAATCTCTCAGCTTGATTTGCTCCTCGGACACGCCATTAGGGCACATGCTTGTGCACACAATATGAAACTCTGACAAATGTTTGTTCAGGTCTTCCCCTCGTAGACCATGGAAAGAGGGAAGTAGATGAATGAGCCCATATTTTAGCTCGAATGCGACCCCCGTATCAAGAGTTGGAAAAGTGATACATAAGGGTTGTTGATTTAGATTCGGAGCCGTGAGCTCCCTCAGCGTTCTTGTTTCAAGAGCCATAGTGATTGGCTCTTCGGTGTCGCTAGAATGAGAACTAGCACTTGATGATTCCTCCGAAGAAGTATTCGGAAATAAATTCCTAAACCTCTCGAAGGCTTGTTCTGTTTCGGGCTTTGTTTGGTAGGTGATTTGGTTTATAGATCGGTGTTTAACCATATACTCAAAACTCAGAAATAGAAAAATAAGAACTCTTTATATTTTTATTTCAAATATTTTTTTTCTTGAAATATAATAAAAGAAAAATAATTGCCTTTCCCGAGCAACGGCGCCAAATTTGACGTGCACTTGTCGTGAGGTGCACTCAAAATAATTTATCAATACAACCCTAATACGTAGTATAACGAAGTAAGGTTCGTATCCACAGGGAAATGAATACTTTTCTTCTATATAAGTAGTAACAAGGGGGTTTAGATTTGTTTGATTAAAAAAATACTAAGATGAACGACTTATGTGGTTTAATTAATAGAGATGAGGACTTGGTTTTGCTTTTATCCATTTAATGAAATGTTCGTCGATCCCGGTTATATCTTTAACTATCTTCCTCTCGAATACTCAATCGAGGAGTATATCCAGTTCATCGAGGGTAGTTATTAATAACGAGATGCGTTCATTAATAAAACTTACTATCGAGTCAATATAGAACAAGCGCCGTATATTAACTTGATAGTAGCAATAAACTTAAGATGAAAACGATTGAGATTGATAGCCTCAACACAAGCTGTTTATTGGTTTAATCAATATAATTAATTCCCCTTGGCATATTAACCATGAGATGCATGTATTAATAATCCAAGTTTACTACCATTGAAAGAACCGGATTAATAACAAGCGTATTAACCGATTGATTCTAGTAGTAATTAATATGAGAAACAAAACTAGTTTATACTTTAAGTAATGTTTAAAATATTAACATGAAATATGAATAGGAATTAATTAATACTCAAGGAAGAATATTAAAGAATATGAATCCTACTATGATTAATATCAAGATGTTAACTAATTGTCATCTTAGTAACACTCCCCAATATTAACATAGAGGAAGAAATAACTATTACTATAACCAATGTCAAGATGTTAACTATTTGTCATCTTAGTAACACTCCCCAACTTTGATATAGAAATAGTATTTTAAAGGAAGAATTAATATTCAAGGAAGAAGATTAAAGAAAATAACTCACAACTTACAAATTCATTAAGCTTCAAAGTAGCAAAACCAAGATGGAAGAGTTAAGCTCCTCATTTGGAGACTAAACATGATGAAAAATATAAAGAAAGAACTATTCTATACTGAGCTTAGATGTACAAAGAAATTGGATTCTCATTTGTGAAGGAAAGGGGGTGTATTTATAGGCTTTTGGGATGGGATTCGGGTACTCGATCGGGTATATACAAGGTACCTGATCGAGTATGTGTGTAATACCAGATTCGAGGTATACTCGATCGGTTTTAGGCTATTTTCCAAACGTATACCCGATCGGGTATATGTTTATACCCGGTCGAGTATGCGTAGAAAGTGATATTCGAGCCATACTCGACCGATCTTACGTTTAAAACTCAAAGGCATACCCGATCGGGTATGTCGGTCTACCCGATCGGGTATAGACATTTAATCGTGGCCGAAATCATCCCGGCATGTTCCCTTGTCTTCAGATCTGATCCGATTTGAAGTTTCAACCTAATACCCGATCGAGTATATGTAATACTCGACCGAGTATAGACCAAAATTTCAGGATCCTTCTTTCTTTTTGATTTTTGCACCTTCCTTCCACTTTTGGGGTACACCAATTGTCCTTTGAGTGATCAAGACCTGTTTGAGCTCAGAATATACGTAATCTAAACTATTTACAAGGATTTAACAAACTAAACTATTACACCAAAAGTGTGTAATTTCCAAAGTAAAGATCAAGCAAAACTAATTAAAAACACAAACATACATATGGAAATTACAAACGTATAAATGTGGTAACAAGTTTATTTTCGGGGTTTCCCCACTATGAATTCTGGAGGATTTTAATGGAGTTTAGAATTCAATCTGAATTCAGGTGTCAACGATTTGGATTTCCGTTGAATCCATGAAAACAAGAGTGTTCTCAAACATTACATGAATTTCTATTGTTACTTAATTATTTGGATGAATTTTAATGGATTTTGATGAATTTCTACATACAAAACATTCCACCACAAATCTTGTAGAATCCCTCAGATTTCAAAATCCACGATCTTTAAAATTCGTCCAAAGTCCTAGTTGGGAACACCCCCAACTCGTAGTGGAGCCGAGCTGAATAACGTGTTCTAAAAGGGTTTTATCCTGAAGAGACCTTACCATTTGTCAAATCGGGTGAATACCAGAAAGAATATTTTATTATTTTTGCATGGTGATGTATGTGTCGATCCATGCCTTATATACATTTGATGGTCAATGCCATATACAAAAGGAAAGCTACGTACATGCTACCGTTGGGAGAATAAAAGGCAAGCATTAAATGCCCGGTATCCTATGTGCCTAAAATAACAGAGGTTACGTATGTACATGGTAAAAATGTTACATAATAAAATGTGATAAGAAAAATCAATAATAACAAATGTAATAATATTCAACACCCCCCCTCAAGATGGAGCATGGGGATTACAAATGCCCATCTTGGCAGGTAGATGAGAAAATTGTTGGGCTCCAAGTGCTTTAGTGAGTAGATCCGCAGGCTGTTCAGTAGATGGGGTATACGAAGGAGAAATAGTCTCGGCCTGAATATGATCCCGAATAAAATGACAATCAAGTTCTATGTGTTTAGTCTGTTCGTGATACACAGGATTGGAGGCAATGTGAAGTGCAGCTTGATTGTCACAGTAGAGACGCACCGGTGTGGAATGTCTGACACCCAATGACTGAAGTAGGCTGCGCAGCCAAATAAATTCACAAGTCATTGTGGTCATTGCGCGGTATTCCGCCTCTGCTGAAGAACGTGAGACTGTTGCTTGCTTTTTAGTACGCCGGGAGATGGGAGAATCTCCAAGAGAGATAAAGTATCCAGTTACAGAGCGACGTGTTACCGGACAGGTCGCCCAATCAGCATCACACAATCCGGTGAGAGAGAGAGAATAGAGTGAGACTGCAAGAGAATGCCTTGACCTGGGTGACCTTTCAAGTATTTCAATACACACAGCACTGCCTCCCAATGAGCCACCCTTGGACGTTGCATGAATTGGGAAAGAATATGAACAAAGTAGCTAATGTCAGGTCTAGTCAATGTGAGATAAATGAGTTTCCCGACCAGCCTTCTATATCGGTCTGGATCCGAAAAATGGGGTCCAATGTCAGACTGCAAACTGTGGTTTTGGACCATTGGAAAAGAAACCGGCTTTGCTCCGGTCAACCCCGTTTCAGCTAAAATGTCAACCACATATTTACGTTGGCATAGAAAAAATCCAGTGGAGTTTCGGGCAACTTCAATGCCTAAAAAATATTTCATAACCCCCAAATCTTTCACTGGAAAGGAGGCCGCAATGTATTTTTTAAATTCCTGGATCATGTTCTTGTCGTTGCCGGTAATGAACAAGTCATCGACATAAAGCAACACACATAATATTCGATTTTCTCTCCGCAAAGTAAAGAGCGAATAATCGGCATGCGACTGGCAGAACCTATATGCTCGTAACGAAGAGCTGAGTTTAGAAAACCAACATCGTGGTGCTTGTCGAAGCCCATAAAGAGAGCGAAGCAAGCGACATACCTTGCCAGAAGAGGAGGCTTAATACCCCGGAGGCAAGTGCATGTACACTTCTTCACGAAGATCCCCATGTAAAAATGCATTGTCCACGTCCATTTGATGTAGTTCCCAATGGCATGCGGCGGCGACCGCTAAAATGGTACGAACCGTTACCATTTTAGCAACCGGGGCAAACGCCTCGCTATAGTCAATCCCCTGCACCTGTCGGTTATCGCAAACTACAAGTCTGGCCTTGTAACGTTCCACCGAGCCATCACTTTTATACTTGATCTTAAAGACCCATTTGCAAAATATTGCCTTCTTGCCCCGGGGCTGATCTTGAATTTTCCACGTACCAGTTTGCTTCAAGGCTTGGATTTCACGTTGCATAGCATCCCGCCATTGCGGGTCACGAACAGCTTCTCCGAAGCTAGATGGCTCTTTATGCATCGAGATGGCTGCAAGAAAAGCTCGGTACGGAACCGAAAAATGATTATATTTTATATAATGAGATATGGAATAAGGAGTACCTGATTCAACCGATGAAGCGGAGTCAACAACGGGGGTAGAGTTTATTGTAACAGTGTTCATTTGCACTCCATAATCCCGATGCCATGCTGGTGGTTTACGTTGTCGCTGCCCTCTCTTGGATTGGTCAATGTTCACCGCGCGGGAATCCGGCAAATTTGGGTCATAATTATCTGTGCCGTCTGACGTGGAAGTCAACCCGGCATGTGGGTGTCCCTGCTCATGTGCATCGTCACGGCCTGCACTACCATCCGGTGCACTCACGGTTTGCCACGTGCCAACACCATCAGGAGTGTCATATGCATTGTCATCCACAAATGCACGCATGTATGACTCCAAGTTTTGTCCCTGCAGTGCATCCTTATCCAAATTCGGCTCCACCAGTTTATAAGGGAATGAATTTTCAACAAATCTTGTCACGCCCCGGACCTACCAGACACGTCAACAATCCGCCGTACAGTACGATTTGTCAACCGCAGTTCAACACATTCATACTATACAAAGCGTCTGGAATATCATTCACACGTAGCACATCCATAAACAAACATAATGTGAATTATTCTTTAAAACAACGGAAACAACATTACAAGTGTTCAAGCCACACTTGGCAAACATGGGTATACAAACCCCCGAAATGTATATTCAGAAAATAATATCCATGAGCATTATTCATATTGTTTTCAAAACAAGAACGGAAGAAGCACGAACCAAGTCTTCTTCTCAGAAACTTCCCGAAACAGCGGCTGGTAGTAGCAACCTTCAAGTTCTACCTGAAACTGTGAGGTGGCCTCCCCCGTGAAGGGGAGGTCAGTACTTGGAAGCATTTGACAAGTACAATGACAACTATACTAAGTATAATCGAAGTTTAAATCTCTGAGGCCCTCAATCTAGAGCATTATTACATTATAGTTAATCTGTTCATTTAGTATCAATTCATCATTATTTACTACGGTCTAGAACCCAGCTCATAATCACCGTTATCTACTACGGTCTAGAGCCCCGCTCATAATCACCGTCATCTACCACGGTCTAGAGCCCAGCTCATAATCACCGTCATCTACTACGGTCTAGAGCCCAGCCCATAATCACCGTTATCTACATCGGTCTCGAGCCCGGCCCATAATCACCGATTCTTTATAATTCAAATTCTTAGGATCTAATTCATCCATTTCTCAACTAACATTTCCAACTAATATTTCAATGCTAGTTATTTATTTATTTCAATATAATTCTTCCTTCATGCATGATTGGCCTTAATATCAAATATCACTTTTATACTTTCATGGCTTCTCCTCATGGTATCAAAGTATACTATCTCAAATGAAATTCATGGTTGATACAACCATCATACACTCGTATTCATAACATCTAAACATACACAATTTATTCATAAATTTGTATATCATGCATACTATACTTATAATCAATAGTAGTTTTATTTAGGCATTATTAAGTATTAACCATTAACAACCCATGCACATCACATTTGTATTCACTTAGGAGATCCCATGAGATTAACCCAAAGATTATAAGCAACATAGTCGGTCATCCTCACCTTAATTAAGCTTAAGCGCGTTCTACGCTTCTCGATTGAACTTTGACTAATTTCGGCGAACTTTGACCAACTCCGGCGAACTTTGACCAACTCCGACGAAACTCCGGCGAAGCTCAAAAATACTTTAAATCAAGTTCCTAACAAGGTTTTATCATCACAAAACCCATATCAACACAAATAACCTATAAAAGGTTATTTTCCGGCAAACCGGTCGATTTGGCTTCTAAGTCCGTTCTTGGACATAGAACCACTTTCCAACCCATAAATCCATACTTAGAGCATGGAGAACCCTCCCAAGGGTTCTTCATATAATAAATATTTCTCATGGTAGAATAAGAATAAAGGGAAAGCTATGGCAAGGTGATTACCTCAATTTCCACACTTTCCTACACCTTTTTCCTTCTCCAAACACTCCTCTTTGGATCCTCTATCTTGAGCTCGAATTTGGGTGTGAAAATGATGAATTTCAGAGCTCCTCCTTGCTATCCTTGGGTGTTGCTACGAGTGGGTGGAGGTGGTGAGGTGAGAGGTGGTTTTTGTCTCATTTAGACAAATGAGTGAAGGGATGGGGTCTACTAAATGTCAAAGGGTGTCTCCCCCATCCTATCAATTGTTATTCAGCCAACTTAGCACTCATCCAGCCCCCAAGGGTTGACAAATTCGTGGGGTGGCCCCCACCCATGTGGGAGGTCATCCTAATTTGTCCCAAAGTTTACAATTTGCCCCGAAAATTGTATTTTCCGGACTGTTTTAGATATATTTTATTTTATCGGGTTAAATAAATATATTACGTGTTCTTAATCATTATAACATTTAGAATGAATATGAATTCCCCAACTTTAATTTATAAGTCACCAAAATCCAATTTCGGGCTTTTATCTGATAAATTTATCGATACCGGTACTTGGGCCTCTATTGACCAATCGGTCAACTCTAGGCCTTTCCATGGCCCAAATGAAGTATCCACCATCTATAAATATTTTCTAGACCCAGATGAATATAATATGTGGTCCCGATAATATCGGGCGGTCCCCACTCCCGATGTGGGCCCCACGTGCATTTTACTATTCACGCGAAAAAAATTAATACAAATTCACAACCTCGTAAATTCACTAAAAATTTCATAGGGTTCAATAAATTATTTGCTTAAAGATAAATACATTTGGGGACGGTGTTACAAGTTCACCCCCCCTTATTTGGGATTTCGTCCCCGAAATCCGCGTGTCTAATCGAAAAGGAAAGGGTACTGCTCCCTCATTGAGACCTCAGTCTCCCAGGTTTCTTCTTCGACTCGATCACTCCTCCAAAGGACCTTTACCATAGGAATCTCCTTGTTCCTCAGTTTATTTACCTGTTGACCCACAATCTTCACCGGTTCCACCGCATAGTGTAGGTCTTCACGTATCTCTACCGGTGGTTTCTCAAGGATATGAGACGGATCTCGCACGTATTTCTTGAGCATCGATACATGGAACACGTCGTGTATCTTCTCAAGTTCTGGCGTCAATTTGATACGGTAAGCCACGGCCCCTATCCTTTCAAGGATTTCAAATGGGCCAATGTATCGGGGGTTAAGCTTTCCCCTCGATATAAATCTGATGATACCTTTCCAAGGAGAAATCCTTAGAAAGACCTTATCACCGACCTCAAACTCCAATGGCCTGCGTCGTTTGTCAGCATAACTCTTTTGCCGATCTTGGGCAGCCTTGAGTCTATCCTGAATGACTTTCACCTTAGCCTTGGTGATTTCGACAAGTTCAATCCCCTCGAGCTTGTCTTCGCCAACCTCGTCCCAACACAACGGTGTTCTACATTTCCTCTCATACAATGCCTCGTATGGAGGCATGCCAATACTCGCCTGATAACTGTTGTTATAGGCGAACTCGACCAGAGCCAAATGCTTGTCCCAACTCCCTTGGAACTCCAGAGCACATGCCCTAAGCATATCTTCCAGAATCTGTATCACCCTCTCGGATTGCCCATCCGTCTGTGGGTGAAAGGTTGTGCTAAACTTTAGCTTCGTACCCAAAGATGCTTGAAATTTTGGCCAAAATCGGGATGTGAAACGTAGGTCCCTATCCGAGACAATGGATATCGGAACTCCATGCAGTCTCACAATCTCCTCCGTGTATAGCTTTGCCAATCTTTCAAGAGGATAAGTAATGTTGATAGGCAAAAAGTGTGCACTCTTGGTGAGCCTATCAACCACTACCCATACTGCATCATAGTTGTTCACTGTTCGTGGTAGCCCCACCACGAAGTCCATGATCACGTGCTCCCACTTCCATTCTGGAATGGTAAGTGGTTGCAAAAGTCCCGCCGGGTGCTGATGTTCCGCCTTGACTTGTTGGCAAGTAAGGCACCGACTCACGTACTCTGCGATGTCCCTCTTCATACCCGACCACCAGTAACTTTCCTTCAAGTCTCGGTACATTTTAGTACCTCCTGGATGCATGGCATACGCCGAAGAATGAGCCTCCTCCAGTATAGACTTTTGGAGCTCCTCATTCCTTGGTATGCATACACGGCCTTTAAACAATAAAAGACCGTCATTACGTACCCGAAAGTTCTCAACAGGTCCCTCAAGGATCCGTTCACGGATCTTCTGACATTCTTCATCAGTGTCCTGACATCTACTGATCTCACTCAGCAATGTAGGCCTAACCTCGAATCTAGCAATGAGGACCCCACTCGTGGACACCTCCACTTGTGCCCTTAATGAGCGTAGACACGCGAGTAACGTCCCCGATGTACTCTTCCTGCTCAGTGCATCGGCTACTACATTGGCCTTCCCGGGATGATAGTCGATGATCAAGTCATAGTCCTTGATCAACTCCATCCATCTCCTTTGTCTCATATTCAACTCTTTTTGAGTGAATACATACTTCAAGCTTTTATGATCGGTGAAAATGTGACATGTCTCCCCATAGAGATAATGCCGCCAAATCTTCAGCGCAAACACTACCGCTCCCAACTCTAGATCGTGGGTAGGGTAGTTTGCCTCGTGTTTCTTCAATTGCCTTGAAGCATAGGCAATCACCTGACCGTTTTGCATTAGAACACATCCAAGCCCTTGGATGCTAGTGTCACTGTATATGTCGTACCCTATCCCTTGTGTGGGTAGAGCGAGGACTGGTGCTTCTGTAAGCCGTTTCTTTAGTTCGAGAAACCCTTTCTCACAATTGTCGTCCCATATGAACTTGGCCCCTTTCTTTGTGAGCTTTGTCAATGGAGACGCCAATACAGAAAATTTTTCAACAAACTTACGATGATATCCTGCTAAGCCGAGGAAACTACGTATTTCTTTCACGTTTTTGGGTCTCTCCCAATTCATAATGGCTTCTATCTTGGCTTTATCCACCGCAATGCCCGAACCTGACACGACATGCCCGAGGAACCCGATCTCTTTGAGCCAGAACTCGCATTTAGAGAACTTGCAAAGAGTTGTTTTTCCCTTAGCCGTTCAAGTACAAGTCTCAAATGATCTTCATGCTCCTCCTCACTTTTGGAGTATATCAAAATATCGTCAATGAATACTATCACGAATTGATCTAAGTATTCACTGAACACACGGTTCATCATGTCCATGAATGCCGCCGAGGCGTTGGTTAGCCCGAACGACATAACTAGGAACTCGAAATGACCATACCTTGTGCGGAATGCACTCTTCGGTATGTCATCTTCCTTTATTTTCAGTTGGTGGTACCCCGACCTCAAGTCAATCTTCGAAAACACCGTCGCCCCTCGGAGCTGATCAAACAAGTCATCAATTCTAGGAAAGGGATACCTATTCTTGATTGTGACCTTGTTCAGTTGACGATAGTCAATGCACATTCGAAGTGTTCCATCTTTCTTTTTCACGAAAAGGACCGGTGCTCCCCACGGAGAGTGACTCGGCCTTATGAAACCGTTATCCAATAGCTCTTGCAATTGAGTTTTCAACTCGTTAAGTTCAGCGGGTGCCATTCTGTATGGCGGTATAGAGATTGGTTTGGTGCCGGGTTCGACCTCGATCACGAACTCAATCTCCCTATCGGGTGGAAGTCCCGGCAAGTCTTTTGGGAAGACAACCGGATACTTGCACACAACTCTCACATCATTGATGTCTATCTCTTCTTTGGTTTTGTCCACCACATACGCTAGGTATGCGTGGCATTCTTTTCTCATCATATTCCTCGCCCTCACGGCGGATATGATACAACTGTTTGTTTTGCCTCTATCTCCCTCGAAGCGTAAGGTCAACCCTTCACCGCCTTCGAGTTCAAGAATCTTCGTGTAGCAATCGACCCTAGCATGATGTTTCTCAAGCCAATCCATCCCGAGGATTGCATCAAACTCGATCATACTCAGCGGTACGAAATCACACGTCAAGTTCTGTCCCTCCACCTCCACCTCACACGATGGATAGTGGCTATCTCTCTCGATATCATCCCCTAGAGGCGTGGACACCAATAGGGTTTGAGTCATCGGTACAAGTGGTCCGTTGAATCCGCTGGCGAACGCCTCACTCACAAATGATCGTTGCGCCCCGGTATCAATAAGGATCCTTGCGTCTCTCCCGTTTATCTTTAGTGTTCCTACATTCATAAGTAATGTATATCACACTATCTAATTAATAGGCTTGTTTCTTAAGTCGTAGAGTATGTTGGTCGTGGTTCGGGTGGGGTCCGTTTGACACCCGTCTGAAAATTCCCGGTTTCTAACCCTTAGAACCGTTCTGGGACCGACCCTGGTGAAAGCCGGCCGCTTTTCACGAAAGCCGGCCGGTCTTCGACTGCGAGAATAATTCTCAGTATTTAATCCCGAAAGCCGGGCGGCTTTTACGAAAGCCGGGCGGTTTTCGTCGCCGTAGTTTTTATTCAGGGAATGGTTTCGAACCCGGCCGGTTTATACGAAACCCGGCCGGGTTTCAGCAGCGCAGGAATCCCTAGGCCCGACGAAAGCCGGGCGGCTTTCGCCAAAGCCGGGCGGCTTTCAGCTGCGAGAAAATTCCCAGGTCAGGCATTTATGAAAGCCGACCGGTCTTTACAAAAGCCGGTCGGTTTTTGGTTGCGAGGATTTTTCTGATTAAATGTTGACGAAAGACGGGCGGCTTTTGGTGGAAACCGGCCGGCATTCGTCGCTGCAACATTTTCCCAATAATTCAAGACGAAAGCCGGGCGGCTTTCGCCCAGGGCGGGGATTTTTCCTCCCCTTTTCCCAACAATCCCGACCAAACCGTCGGGGTTACAAATTTTGCACCTTACAAACACTCCTATTGCATACAATGGAGTAATATCATGAGTTTAAGATCTTACCCGCCACGGAGTCCGGGTTAGCACGTGCGTCCGCCTCCGTCATCGCATAAACTCTAGCTTGAGTTCTTCCTTGATTCACGGACGGCGCATTGCTCGTGTTCGCCCCCCTGGCCCACACTGGCATGAGATGCTCCGGCCCGGTTCCTACTTGCCGTGGTAGCGCCGCTTGGTCCTGACCCCCGGTCCCCACCAAGTTGAGGGCAGTTTGGCTTAATATGCCCTGTACTCCCGCATTGGTAGCACCGTGGTGGATCACGACACTTACCGGCGTGGTTCCTGTTGCAATTCCTGCACCTGGGCGTCGTTGGGGCTTGTGAGCCCGAGTAGTGCCCGCTCGTGGCCGGGTTTCCCTTGGATGGTGCTGCCGGTGCCCTGAACGATCCACCTCCCCCATGGTTCCCCTTCTTGTTGGGACCTTGGGGGCCATGGCTTTCCCACTTTCTTTTCTTAGCCTCTTCGACATCTCTCTTCTTCCTCTCCTCCCATTGTTTTTCTCCTTTCAACCCTTGGGCGACCACTTGGCTGAAAGTCATGTTGGGCAATTGAGTTGCCCTGTCGCGTATCTCCAAGTCCAAGGCCTCCCAAAAATGATTCACCATTCGGTTTTCATCACAAGCATACTCCGGTATGTGATCAGCAAGGTCTCTGAACTTGTTCTCAAGTTCTTTCACCGTCATGTTACCACCTTGGGTTAGGAGAGTGTATTCCCTCACCTTGGCGTTTACTTCGAAGTCAGAGTAGTACTGGGCAAAGAATTCTTGTCGAAAATCCTCCCATGTAACAGTTCTGCCATACTTACCCTTGGTTCCATCCCACCATTTGGATGCCAACCCTTCGAGTAACCTTACCGCGATTCTCAGTTTAAAATCGGGGGTGAGCTGCATGTCAAGGGCTGCCTCGTTCAGCCTCTTGATCCACTGTGCGGCAACTGAGATGTCTCCCGTCCCATCGAACGGTTTGCACCCTAAGTCCCTTGCCTCTTTGATGTATTTGGAGATCCTTATGGCTGGACCTCCATCGCCCCGACTTCCATGCGCTTCCACATGGGTTCTCGAATCGCAATAGCTCCTCCCTCTTGAAGCCCCGTCCGAAGGTTGTCCTGCACGGTGCCTTCGGCGTGCCCTCCTTTCTTCGCGCTCCTGATGATAGTGTTGGAGCAGCGCTTCGATCCTGGCCAAGGAGCCACTTTCCTCCTCATCACTCACATCATCATCATTCCCTTCGTAAGGGGTCTCAACTGGCTCAGTCCCCGGCTGGTAGGTTGAGTCCTCATAGGACCAATAGGTCTCACTTTCGCTATCGACGTGGCCATCGCTCACGGTTTGACGTTGGCCTCCACGGCCCCTTCCTCTTGATCCCCTAGAGGACCCCCGGCTACCGCACTCGGACCCACCCGGTGCACGGCCCAACGGGTTCCTTCTAGTGATCCTTCCAACTGGTTCCATTTCTGAAAGAAATTAGAATGAGTCATTAGACTCGTATCGAATGTCAAATGACGGACGGGTACTTAAAAACATCATTTGGCTCAAATCACCGTCGTACCAATTGTTAAGGGTACCATCTTAACAGTTAGAGACTTTGCAACTCAAGTACCAAAAGGTCTATAAGTACAATTTTTTTTATGCTCATGGTTTTCATAATCGTTTTCGAAAAGGAATTTTGGAGCTTCATTATGAAGTTTACGGACTGGCTCTGATACCATATAAATTGTCACGCCCCGGACCTACCAGACACGTCAACAATCCGCCGTACAGTACGATTTGTCTACCGCAGTTCAACACATTCATACTATACAAGGCGTCTGGAATATCATTCACACGTAGCACATCTATAAACAAACATAATGTGAATTATTCTTTAAAACAGCGGAAACAACATTAAAAGTGTTCAAGCCACACTTGGCAAACATGGGTATACAAACCCCCGAAATATATATTCAGAAAATAATATCCATGAGCACTATTCATATTGTTTTCAAAACAAGAACGGAAGAAGCACGAACCAAGTCTTCTTCTCAGAAACTTCCCGAAACAGCGGCTAGTAGTAGCAACCTTCAAGTTCTACCTGAAACTGTGAGGTGGCCTCCCCCGTGAAGGGGAGGTCAGTACTTGGAAGCATTTGACAAGTACAATGACAACTATACTAAGTATAATCGAAGTTTAAATCTCTGAGGCCCTCAATCTAGAGCATTATTACATTATAGTTAATCCGTTCATTTAGTATCAATTCATCATTATTTACTACGGTCTAGAGCCCAACTCATAATCACCGTTATCTACTACGGTCTAGAGCCCCGCTCATAATCACCGTCATCTACCACGGTCTAGAGCCCAGCTCATAATCACCGTCATCTACTACGGTCTAGAGCCCAGCCCATAATCACCGTTATCTACATCGGTCTCGAGGCCGGCCCATAATCACCGATTCTTTATAATTCAAATTCTTAGGATCTAATTCATCCATTTCTCAACTAACATTTCCAACTAATATTTCAATGCTAGTTATTTATTTATTTCAATATAATTCTTCCTTCATGCATGATTGGCCTTAATATCACATATCACTTTTATACTTTCATGGCTTCTCCTCATGGTATCAAAGTATACTATCTCAAATGAAATTCATGGTTGATACAACCATCATACACTCGTATTCATAACATCTAAACATACACAATTTATTCATAAATTTGTATATCATGCATACTATACTTATAATCAATAGTAGTTTTATTTAGGCATTATTAAGTATTAACCATTAACAACCCATGCACATCACATTTGTATTCACTTAGGAGATCCCATGAGATTAACCCAAAGATTATAAGCAACATAGTCGGTCATCCTCACCTTAATTAAGCTTAAGCGCGTTCTACGCTTCTCGATTGAACTTTGACTAATTTCGGCGAACTTTGACCAACTCCGGCGAACTTTGACCAACTCCGGCGAACTTTGACCAACTCCGACGAAACTCCGGCGAAGCTCAAAAATACTTTAAATCAAGTTCCTAACAAGGTTTTATCATCACAAAACCCATATCAACACAAATAACCTATAAAAGGTTATTTTCCGGCAAACCGGTCGATTTGGCTTCTAAGTCCGTTCTTGGACATAGAACCACTTTCCAACCCATAAATCCATACTTAGAGCATGGAGAACCCTCCCAAGGGTTCTTCATATAATAAATATTTCTCATGGTAGAATAAGAATAAAGGGAAAGCTATGGCAAGGTGATTACCTCAATTTCCACACTTTCCTACACCTTTTTTCCTTCTCCAAACACTCCTCTTTGGATCCTCTATCTTGAGCTCGAATTTGGGTGTGAAAATGATGAATTTCAGAGCTCCTCCTTGCTATCCTTGGGTGTTGCTACGAGTGGGTGGAGGTGGTGAGGTGAGAGGGGTGGTTTTTTGTCTCATTTAGACAAATGAGTGAAGGGATGGGGTCTACTAAATGTCAAAGGGTGTCTCCCCCATCCTATCAATTGTCATTCAGCCAACTTAGCACTCATCCAGCCCCCAAGGGTTGACAAATTCGTGGGGTGGCCCCCACCCATGTGGGAGGTCATCCTAATTTGTCCCAAAGTGTACAATTTGCCCCGAAAGTTGTATTTTCCGGACTGTTTTAGATATATTTTATTTTATCGGGTTAAATAAATATATTACGTGTTCTTAATCATTATAACATTTAGAATGAATATGAATTCCCCAACTTTAATTTATAAGTCACCAAAATCCAATTTCGGGCTTTTATCTGATAAATTTATCGATACCGGTATTTGGGCCTCTATTGACCAATCGGTCAACTCTAGGCCTTTCCATGGCCCAAATGAAGTATCCACCATTTATAAATACTTTCTAGACCCAGATGAATATAATATTTGGTCCCGATAATATCGGGCGGTCCCCACTCCCGATGTGGGCCCCACGTGCATTTTACTATTCACGCGAAAAAAATTAATACAAATTCACAACCTCGTAAATTCACTAAAAATTTCATAGGGTTCAATAAATTATTCGCTTAAAGATAAATACATTTGGGGACGGTGTTAAAAATCTTACGTCACGTGATACAAAATGCTTATGATTTTCCAAATCATAAACCTTCCATCCCTTTTGAGAATAAGCATATCCTAGAAAAACGCACCTCACGCCACGTGGTGCAAATTTGTCACCTGTTTGGTTTTTAGCATGAACATAACACAGACATCCAAAAACCCTAAGTTGACCATACCCCAGGGGTTTATTGTACAGAAGTTCATAAGGGCTTTTGTTGTCTAGAGTAGGAGAAGGTAATCGGTTGATCAAATACCCAGCGGCTAACACACATTCACCCCGAAATTCTATCGGTAAATTAGCGTGAAATCGTAGTGTTCTAGCCATTTCCAATATGTGCCTATGCTTCCGTTCTACCCTTCCATTTTGTTGTGGAGTATAAACACATGATGTCTGAAAAATGATACCATGGGTCAAAAAATATTCATGTAAGCTCACAAATTCCTTGCCATTATCACTTCTAATTACTTTCACAATTTTATCAAAATGGCGACTAGTCATGGCAATAAACTGTTTAAGAATATTTTTCACCTCACTTTTATCTCGCATCAAATGTACCCAGACAGCTCTAAAAAAATCATCAACTATAGTCAAGAAATAACGAGCTCCACAAGTAGAGGGAAAACGATATGGACCCCAACCATCACAATGAATTAGCTCAAAAGGTTCAACAACACGTGCACTACTAATAGAAAAAATATCACGAATTTGTTTGCCTCGTAAACATGCATCACAGGCTTTATTCTGAACAGATTGTAATTCTGCTTTATTCAAACAATTAACTAAACGCAGAACTTTTACTCACGGATGCCCCAATTGTGAATGCCACAAATCACCTAAGCCATCCCTGCCACAGCATGGACTTGTGCACGGTCCCGACTCCGAAAGTAATAAACTCCCCCTCGTCGATCACCCACTCCGATCGGCATCCTCGTAAGTAGGTCATGTATTACACATAAATCATTAGTAAAAAATATATCACATTTCCGTTTATCAATTAATTGTGCAAGTGAAATAAGATTGCACTGTAGCCCGTGTACTAGCAGTACATCATTTAAAGTCAACCGTGCATTCATCCATATAACACCATTAGGAAGAGTCACGACTACTGGATCAATTTTTGTCATTCTCCTTAGTTTACCATCGTTTCCGGTCATGTGATAGGATGCACCGGAGTCTAAGATCCATTCATTATGAATTTTCATACCTGAGAGCTTTTCTTCAATAGGAGTGGTCTTACAATTTTCCATTAGTTTGAGAAGAGTCTGCCACTGCTCATCCGTAAAGCCCGGTTTATGCAAACCCGTGTTGCTGCCTCCTTGCTGCCACTGATCATTTATTTTCCGTCGTTCCTGTCGATGTCCGTCACCATGGTTCTCTGTTTCTCCGGCCATGCTTGATGACGGCGGTACGTGCAGTGGACGGTCCCAGACTATGGCTGCTCTCATACCATGTCAAATCGGGTGAATATAGGAAAGGATATTTTATTATTTTCGCATGGTGATGTATGTGTCGATCCATGCCTTATATACATTTGATGCTCAGTGCCATATACAAAAGGAAAGCTACGTACATGCTACCATTAGGAGAATAAAAGGCAAACATTAAATGTCTGGTATCCTATGCGCCTAAAATAACTAAGGCTACGTATGTACATGGTAAAAATGTTACATAATAAAATGTGACAAGAAAATCAATAATAACAAATGTAATAATATCCAACACCATTTGACATGGATATGATCAAGACCGATTCTGAATAATATCAAGAAGTCGAGAACCTAATAATACCGTACTGATCGACCTAGATAATATATTTGAGATTTTTTTTATACTTTAGCATTCCAAAGAAAATTCTTATTCAACCCAACATCATTCATATTAATTTTTATAGACCCACATTACTTTCATTTTCATATTAGCGAAAGGTGAAAACACTTCTACTTTAGTCATAACATTGTGTCGGGTATATGTACGTATGATGATTTTAATTGAACGCATTTATGTCGTAAACAGCATCGGACAACACCAGATTTAAATAGATCATATGTAATGAGATCAGATCAAACTTCAATGGTTGTAAAACACACATATAATAGATATCTACTAGACTAAACCAGGCAATAAAGATTTTACAATTAAAAATATTCATAATGGTAGTTTTACATAAGTTTGGGTGTTATATACTTCCTCCGTCTCTTTTTAGTTGCAACAGTCAACATTTCACGTTTGCCAATACACAATTTTGACCATCATTATATTTAATTATGTATTAGTAAAAATAAAATAAAAATCAGATTATAAAACTTAGTAATGAGATGAATTTTACAATATTTTAAAAAAAAAATGATTCACATAGATCAATAAATAAAATGTAGTCAAAGTAAAGTATATGAATAGTGTATATATTCCAATGTTGCAATTAAAGGGATACGGAGGGTAGTACTATAATGGTAGTTTTACATAAGTTTGGGTGTCATAATGGTAGTTTTAATGGTAGTATGATATATTATCTATAATTTATTATGATACTAGTGTTGAAAAAGATGCAATGAAAAACGAAACTGTTTGAACCCTAACTTTCATGTATAAGCTAGGCTGCAGTTTTGGCGTAATTAACTCCTTTATTAAGCAATTATTACTACGACATCTCATCATTATACAAACTAAGCTAGTAATTACAAAGGATTACTTTGTGACTGAAAAGCATAATTTCCATACAAAGAGATAGCACTTCTACCCTTTTGGTCAAAAAGAGATTCAATTATATCCTACCGACCCTACAAAAATCTTAATTTTAAGAATATTATTTATGTCAACAAACTAAGGCCCGATGAAAACCACTTTAAATTATGGTCCTTTGGATGAATAAACTTGTGTATAAAGGATTTGTAAAACATATTTTTAGCCGACAAAGATATACACTTTATCGTTGAAAGTCTCTCCCTATAATAGTCATTCCCTCACACATATCTGGACAAGTTTACTTTAGTATGTGACACGAACCCATTTAATTTCCTACAAAAACAAATCTATCTTAAAAGTACATATTTGTAATAAGTTGAATCTTATTCCTTTCAGTTTGAAAACGACAATTCATAATTATAGTTCTTCTCAGTTTGTAATGCCAAGTATGCAACAACACATTAACGCTATAAGTATAGTAATTTAAAGCTTAGAGCAACCTAATTTTTCTTAAATATTTAATTTTAGTGCAGATTTTATATAACTTTTTCCTATTTAGATCACTCGGCTCGTTATTGTTTAACCTTAGTACAATAACTATTGTATTCAATCCAATTCAAATTTCTGAATCTGCACTTTATATTTTAGTGTGATTGTGCTAGCTAGCTAGGCTGGTTTATACTTGAGCTTAATGACATATATGTGCTCATAACCATGCTTCAATGTTAAGTAAATTAAAAAGGGCTAAACTACTATTTCCTGGCCTCCACTTTACTATATGAGAATTTCAATTTCCTTTGTCAGATAACGTTTGCATATTTGATCATATTTAAATAAATCATATATAGTCGTCACATATACTTTACAAATATAATTTTAAATTAGTGATTTTATATAATTATGTTCCTTAGTATAGGTAATAGGCCGGTGTATTTCTCATTCCCCAAGAGCAGTGCACTAATCCGATCCTTTCTTTTTGAATACTTTTCTTTTTGAAAATAAATAACCACTCTTTCTTTTCATCCTTACGACTTATTTTTTGACTTTGTAGGCATTCTTAAATATGAGTCCTCCTATGCTTTTGCACGAGTTTTTAGAGGAAAATAATAGAGGTAGTGTAAAAGGTGTAGTGAGTTGTGGATAAATGAAAAAGTAGGAAAGAGAAAGAGGTAATGGTAATAAAAGTGAGGATATAAATGTATTTTGATTGAAAAAACTTACCAAAAAGGGAAAGAGAGACAAATAATTAAAAACGTCCCAAAAAGGAATGCGAGACAGTTAATAAAGAACAGAGGGAATATGTTTTAATTTTGCCCCATATTTTACTACGTACTCCGTATTATTTTAAGGACAGTTTACAAATACATACTACCTCCGTAACTCTAGAATCTTTCCAGTTTGACTTTTTTGGGTCAAACTTTATAAACTTTGACCATTAATTATTCAAAACTCACATTATGTTATGATTAAAAATTTATTTCATATACCTCATTGTAAAACATTATATTTGAATGTTAATTTATTATGAATTTTATAAATATAGATATGTAGATATTTAGAGTCAAAGTTTAGCTTAAAAGACCGTGAAAAGTCAAAATGGGAAGATCTTTATGTTACGAAGGTAGTATTAAAAAAGTGTTTTTAAAAAACTAGTTGAAAACTACCCTGTAAAAGCTAAAAGCTTACAAAAAAGCATTTTATCTGTCAAAACGGTGCTTCAAAGCGTTTTTCACTTTTTATAAGGAGTCTTACAAAAAAGCATTTTATTTGTCAAACATTACCAACTTTAAGGTGCTTCAAAGTGTTTTTCATTTTTTATAAGGAGTCTTACAAAAAAGCATTTTATCTGTCAAACATTACCAACTTTTGCTCTTTTAAAAACATTTTTCTCAAATACTTCAACTATTACCGTAAACACATTCTTTAAAATCACTTTAAAAAATCAATTTTTTTAAGTAGAAGCAATAATTGCAAACACTACCTTAACCTTCGTTTAAGGAACTGCATGGACTTTAATTTGTTTTGTCTACTTATCCTTCATTTATGTTCAATTTATCCGATGTTGTCGAAGGGATATCCGATAAATTTAGTTTAATTTATGTTTAATTAAACATAAATTAAATTACCATAGAATTTGCCTATATATACTTGGTATATATGAACTACGTATAAAAACAATTCAAGAAAGCGTTGGGAGCATATATATATAATAGATTAAAATATGGTCAGAACAAAAACACCTGAAGATCGTCGAAAGTGGTACCTCATTTTGTTTGTGCTGACTTTGCTTCTATTTGCTGTTGCCTTAGCGGTCATCGTTATAAAAATATTGGTGCACCACCGGCGCGACCCGTCTTACACCGTCGCGGATGCGGTCCTGCGAAACTTTAACGTGAACGACGACAACCTCGTCACGGCGGCGACGACCGTGAGCTTCAACCTCACAGTCCACAACCCTTACAAAGACAAGAGCATGAGCTTCACCAACGTAAGCGCTAGTTTCTCTTTTCTTTACCCAGAATTAGTAGACTACCTCCCGGGCAAACCCATTGCGACCGCCTCCTCAGGCGCCGCCGGCGAAGCTCCGATCACCGTGCCTAGCGGCTCGAACGCCTACCCTATCCCTTTCCAGCTTCGGGCAATAGACGGCGTGACGGTTGAAAACGCTGGCTCCGTCAAGAAAGACATAGCGACGTCAAATGCCACCGCAGCGTACATTCAGGTGGATGCTCAAGTTCGGGTGCAAAACTCCGCCGCTAGCCGCGCGCTTCATCTCAAATGCGAACTCACTATCTCGGTCAACGATTACGTTGACAACTCTTCAACCAATTTTCCTTGTACGTACTGACTGCTAATCCGGCGCCGCGCCACGCCATGCCGGCCATGACGTTTTCATCGCCGACCAGTTGCATGCATCCATGCCTGCAGTATCATTATTGTCCGCCTAAAAAAAAATACTACCTCCATTCTTAAATAAATGCAACACTTTCACTTTTACACTATTCAGATGTTCTACTTGACTACGTTTTATTTATTAATGTAATAATATTATTTTATGAAAAAAATATTGTTAAACTTGTCTCATTGTAAATTTTCATAATCTAATTTTTTTAATTTTTTACTAATACAAAACCATTTATATTAATGGTCAAAGTTGTGTCTCGGCAAGTGTGAAATGTTGACCGTTGCATTTATTTAAGAATGGAGGAAGTACATTACTTTATATACTCCTTTCAAAAAATCAATTAAATTGACTTTTCTTTGTCACTTAACTTCAAAGTGAGTTTGACTAATGAAATTTTTTAACACAATTATTTAGAATATAAAAATTATATGAGTATATTCCTTATTAAATTTTTTCCATAAAAATATAAAAATGTATAAATTAGACACAAATATAATATCTAAAATTATTGTCTAAATTTTAACACCATTAACCTAGAAATGTGAAATTAACGAGATTTTTGAGAGGGAGGTGGTATTGATTACGAGAAATGTGTTTATTTTGAGTCTTTTCAACTTCAGTTCTGTAGCCAATTATACCAGACCATAGTCCATAGTATGTAAAGACTTTTTCATGGGATTGTCGATCTCATGTGAAAATAACAAGATATGTATGTGAAATATAAGGAAAAATTGATTGTAATAATCCCAATTATCGGCGGTCCGCTTATAATAATCCCAACTATCGATTATCTCACAATAATCCTAACTTTAGTGACCTTCAACTAATGATGGTCTGACAGGACCGGCTATAAATAAATTCTCATAGTTTCTAAAGTGGATGATAAGAGATATAACAAGTAATCCCTATAAATAATTCAACTTTTAATTTTTACGCTTTATTTCTATTTAAAATTCACTTGTTATAGCAGGTCATATCTGGTCATGGACCATTACTGGCGGAAGGTCACTAAAATTGGGATTATTCTGAGATAATCGATAGTTGAGATTATTATAAGCGGACCGCCAATAGTTGGGATTATTACAATCAATTTTTCCGAAATATAAAACAAAGTGTACAAATTTAAAAGCAAAATATATCTTCACTTTTCAAAAAAAAAATCAAGGTCTCTCATAGAAAATTAGTACTTTTATCTCATAAAGTATCGGTTCTTGCACAGACATATAGCTCCACACTATCCGTCGCTTTCTCTTGCACAAAAAGCTCGTATAATAAACTAGGAATTAAGTCATAAAAAGATCTCTTGGATTACTAAGAGTATAATTAAAATCATATGTAGTATTATATATGATAATGATATAATAATATTAATAATCATAGTAATAAATATTGTGCTTTTCCTATTGAGCCCAACACACATTATCAGTATGTATTTACGGCGAAAATGGACATTAGTTTTGGGGTATCTTATTATCTCGATTAATATCACTTATATAGTAGTTATGTATTAATGTGTATATTTTTATTGAAGAATCACAACTAATAACTTTATGTATTATTATGTATATATATGTATATTAGTTTCTATTTTATTTAAAGTGTTACAACTAATCACTTTATGTATTAGTGTCTATGTATATAAATAAGAAATTTTAAACGATTCCGTGTCCTTAACGGGTCGGAATCATATGTACCATACCCGACCCGTTTATTTAAAATACAAACGGCTCCGGATCCGGGTAAACGGAATAAAATTAAATAAATAATATGAAGAACTATGTATTACTGTCATGTAATACAATATATGATTCTTCGCAATAATTAATAAGTATATTAACATTTAGTTACATATACATAAAAAATTAATTATTACGGAGTAAATTCTAAAAAGTCTTTATTTAGTTATTAATAGTATAAAGGAAAAATTGAATATAATAATCACAACTATTGCCGGTCCGCTAACAATAATCCCAACTATTGATTATTATTGTATAATCCCAACAATATGGACCGTCCGCCAATAATGGTCCATGACCGCATATTACCTGCTCTAACAAGTGATTTTTTAATTGAAATTAAGCGTAAAAAAATAAAATTCGGGATTATTTATAGGGATTACCTGCTATATCTCTTTAGAAACTATAGGAATTTATTTAAAGTCGGTCTCCTCGGACCATTATTGACCGAAGGGCCCTAAAGTTGGGATTATTCTGAAATAATTGATAGTTGGAATTATTTTGAGCGGATCGCCAATATTTGGGATTACTACAATCAATTTTTCCTAGTATAAAAACATTTAAAGTTTGGGGGGGGGGGGGGGGGGGGGGGGGGGCAAGGCCCCCTACCCATAAGCATACATTCGTCCCTGTTTGGGATGTATTCACTACTACAGAAATATCTTATGGAATCGCCTTGTACGAGTCACTTATACATTAAATATAATGAATAAGCTTTATGAATCGACTTTTATAAAATTGTGCGATATACTACTTCATAATAACCCTAATAAATCACCCCTAAAGCGTCATCTAAACATATAATATGACTAGCGATTGATACTCATGCCCAATGACAATGTTAAATCACAATATTTTTTTATAAATGATAATTTTACTAATTAATATATGAGAAGTCATAGATTATTATTAGAGAGTTGTATGAAATAGTTTACACATACCAAATTTCAGCTAAAAATTCAATCAGGAAGGTAGTCAAATCAATTTTTGAAGATAACTGCGGAGTTAGATAGCGCGGTATACTTCAGAAAATCATTTGACTACCTTATGCGATTGAATGTTTAGCTGAAATTTGGTATGTGTAAATTAGACTTAATGAAAAAGATGCTCCAAACATTTGATCAAAAAATTTCACCGGAAACCATCCCAAATGGCGATGGCCGAACAAAGTCTCCTATAAAAAGGCTTATTTGCATTTTTTATGAAAGTTCGAGGGCTTATTTGATAGTTCTCCCTTTAATTAATGACAATTATTTTTATTCTTCCCAATTCTGTTGATTCTTCAATTATGAGTCGGGAGTGGTTTTAATTAGGGATTTGGGATTGATGAAGGGGTTAATCACGATGTATGGCTAGTTTATTGATGGATTAATTGCATGAATGTTGTTTAATTGGTGTTTCAATAATTTAACTGATATCTCTTGTAACCTAGAACGCGCGCTAGCATGTCTTTCTTTACTTAGTGAACAAAGAGAAGCTCTAGCCCGGAAACTTTCTGACATGAAAGGAATCAGTCCTTCTTTCTGCACTCATAAAATTTTGATGGAAGAGAATGTTAAACCGGTAGTGCAGCCCCAAAGAAGGCTGAATCCTAACATGTAAGAAGTGGTTAGGGAGAAGTTCATTCGTCTGTTAGATGTGGGCATCATATACCCAATTTCAGACAGCCCCTGGGTCAGTCCGACCCAGGTGGTCCCCAAGAAAGGGGGGATGACAGTGGTTAAAAATGAGAAAGATTAATTGATTCATACGCGTACAGTCACCGGATGGTGGGTTTACATTGACTACCGAAAATTATATGCCGCCACTCGAAAGGACCACTTCCCCCTCCCTTCATTGATCAGATTTTAGAGAGGTTAGCATGGCATAAGTTCTATTGTTTCCTTGACGGGATGTCGGGATACTTCCATATCCCCATAGCCCAGAGGACCAGGATAAGACCACATTCACATGTCCATTCGGTACCTTCGCATATCGGAGGATGGCGTTTGGATTATGTAATGCCCCTGCTACCTTTATGAAATGTATGCTTGCTATTTTTGGGGAATTTATTAGGAAGTTCATGGAAGTGTTTATGGATGATTTCTCTATGTTTGGTGATACTTTTGATGAGTGCTTAGAGAACTTGAAAAAAGTCCTAGTTAGGTGTAGAGAGGTGAATCTGGTGCTTAACTGGGAGAAGTTCCACTTTATGGTTCAAGAGGGAGTGGTCCTAGGGCATAAGATATCGAGTAAGGGGATTGAGGTTGATCCGACTATGGTTGATGTTATTTCTAAATTCCCCCCCCCCCCCCCCCCCCCCCACATCAATCTGTGCCATTAGGAGTTTTCTAGGCCACGCAGGTTTTTACTGTAGGTTCATCCATGACTTTTCTAACATAGCCCGACCCATGACCAAACTCCTTGAGAAGGACACACCGTTTAACTTCTCAAAAGAGTTGTTGGGATATTGGATCGAAGGCCCAATACTCGGGTCGAAGGCCCAAAATATCCAGCCCAATAAATAGCCCGGAATCCAGACGAAGAGCAGGCCCAGTGAAATACATGACCGAACGGGGTTCGGGTAAAACAGGATACTTGGGCCAGATCAAGGATGATTTCAGCATGGACCATCACTCCGTTCGGGCAACAGACAAACTTACAAGTGATAAGGTGCATTAAATGCTAGAGTATGACATCAGCAAGTGGAGGCATGTGCATTCAAGTGGCGGGATTAGCAACCAATCAGCATGGAGCACCCCATACCCCCCATTAGTATACTAGTTTAATAACGCGCGTTGCACGTTCGTAGTAATGCCCAATGTCAATGTAGGGACACACAATATCTTAGTTAAAGTTTAATGAAAATATGACTAATATGAGTAAAATGGTTGAATACATAATTTGTTATTTATGGATAAAGAATCATAAACCGTAAAGCATTTATAGGATAGAATATATGTGGGAAAATAAAATAGACAACATGATTATAATAAACAGAATAGTAGTGAGATTCACATGAAACATTAGTATGTATTTGTGTTTTTATATCAAAACAAACATAATAAACACAAAAATGTTTTAATCAAAGAAGTAGTCAAATATGTATTGGGCTGTAGCGTTTGAAATAAATTTAAAACAATAGTTCTAGGAAAATAGTTGGAGTAATAGAAGTAGTGGGTAATGGTGATAAGTAATCAAGCTTTTCTCTGCCGCTTCAAATCAACAGGCGAATCTTCTACTCCCGAGTGTGGGAGCTTCATCTTTGATGAAGGAGGGGTTGATGGATCAATGTTGGTTGTGACAATGTAATGAGATGCATCATGCAAAGATGTTATGGTGTAGCAGGGTCCTGGATTGGTTTGATAAGTACTTGCTTGTGACCTCAGTTGTACAATATACTCTTCCTTATCCAAGCGCTTGTTTGCATATTGAAATGATGCCTTCTTACCCTTCATAATTTATAAAAAGGGGTCAACATATTGTGCAGTGTCAAATTATAATATTTCATGTATTTTAAATTTAAAGTATTAAATTAGTGTAGCTTGGTAATTGGTCAACCTGTAGCTCTACTTCCATAATTTGTTTGCTAGTCATGAGCAGAAGTTTTTCCACGCATTGCCCAAAAATCGAGGCTTCAATTGTTGAAGTAGTATCAGTGATTGAGACATTCGCTCTGGATCTAATAATTTCATAAAAAAATCCAAGAATTGTCAATAGATTTTTGTTTAACTTTTGAACTCAAAAAAGGTTGATCATATATTGAATCGGTATTTTTGATAGCTGACCTTGGAGTAGCAATTGCATCCTCCGTACCACAATGCATGCAAAAAAACCTTGTATCAGAATCTGCATAAACTGTTTTCAAACAGCTGCAGATTGATTGTGTCGTGAATCCAAACGGATTTCGTCTGCAACATGTCAATCAATCATTGTTGTGATGGATCCATTTATTATTATTATTATTATTATTATTATTATTATTATTATTATTATTATTATTATTATTATTATTATTATTATTATTATTATTATTATTATTATTATTATTATTATTATTATTATTATTATTATTATTATTATTATTATTATTATTATTATTATTATTATTATTATTCTTATTCTTATTATTATTATTATTATTATTATTATTACTATTATTATTATTATTATTACTATTATTATTATTACTATTATTATTATTACTATTATTATTATTACTATTATTATTATTACTATTATTATTACTATTATTATTATTACTATTATTATTATTACTATTTTTATTACTATTATTATTATTACTATTATTATTATTACTATTATTATTATTACTATTATTATTATTACTATTATTATTATTACTATTATTATTATTACTATTATTATTATTATTATTAGTTATTTTGTTTAAGTATTGCAGAACATACCGGATCAATTGATGGAGGTACTTCAGATATTTTAGAAATTTCAGCAACGACTGGAATAGCAAGGTTAATTGCAGCATTATTGTATTCACGGCATATCTTTAGTGCATCAAGAGTAGGACGATTTTCAACTGCCCTGCATAAAGAAAGGTGAAACAAATGTTAATGCGAGAGCATACACAAGGAATTGGTATGAGATTATGTATATTTATTATATGTGATGCAGTGACGTACCACTTTTGCAATTGTTGAGCTCTTGAAGATATATGATTGATTGTTACTGTAGAATGGGGTTTTGAGGACAATGAAATACCTTCAAAACCCGTATATACAGTGAAAATATAGAACACTATGTGATAATGAGAATTTAGAACAACAATAATTTTATACAATTACGTATGTAGGTATATTATACAAGGATAGTATTATATGGAGGAAATAGATGCATATGGTATGGCATAATTTGAAATAGAAAATACTTTAACTATAATGTGTTGACAAAGTGGACATGGAGGTAGATATACATATGTACCATTATTCGAAATAGAAAATACGTAAGATTTGAAATATGCACCACCACCCCATGATCATTTTAGCTATGTTGTACTACACACTGTTTTACTTTAAATTCAAATATATTATTAATTAATACAAATGCTATATAAATGATTTGAAACTTCATAATAATTATTATATATCCATCATCTTCATGTGGCATTAGAATCTCCATATTCTGCCAAGGGAGGTCTTATAAGATTAGAGACCAGTGATCAATCATAAAACGCCTACTCATGTTCAGATAAAAGTATTACATTTTAATTTATTAAATTTTAATTTATCCAGAAAAATCAAATGGCAAGAACTTAAAACGGGGAGCATCCCATGATTGAAAAGATTACACTTTGCGTATGCTTAAAAGTATTAACTTTATATATATTCATAAAACTATTAGTTTTGTGTATTGATAAAATATGTGCAGGGAAAACATTTTTTGGAAAATAATTGGTAGTGATTATTATAGCTATTTACCTTTGAAGGGTGTGACACCTATATTTTCAATAGATATGAGGGGGTATTCGTTCATATTCAGCAAGTTGACAATTTTGATTCCCTCAATATCAGCAAAATCTCCCCAAAGAGTCAGTGCTATTGGTTTCAGCCTGCAATGATATGCATTTGTTATTGATTTATACATATGAATGAATGGTTGACTATGTGATAAATAAATGTAAGTGTTATGGTAAACATACTTTTCATCGACCAACACAATCTCCTTGATATGTTTATCACCCTTACTGGTGGGAATGACTTCCTTTGGGAGTTTGTCTATGACAACGCCCATAAGTGCTGTATGGAAAAAAAAAATTTAAAATATGAGTACACATGAGGGTGATTTTTGCGTAGTCATAAACAAATTGAATGTATAGATTTGTAGAGAGTTAAATTACAGATTTCAATTCTAGATTTCATGCAGTGGTAAACATCATAGAAAGCGTTGTATACTTTGTTATATGCATCGATGAAAGCAGATGAATCACGTAGCGGTTGGACGACTGTACGACCACTTAATATCCATGTGTACTTGTACCTCTCATCTGGAACACTGTAATTAGGGCGTTGAGGTTTGACACTCGCATTGGAAATGGTGTAGCAGGAGTCAAGATGGAGTGTGGAGTTGTATTTTGGGATGTCGTTGTCAAAAACCACCGCTTGAACTCGGATTCCCTTTTTAATCATTAATAAAGGTGTTTAGAATGGTCAATATTTTCATTATAAGAGAGATAAAGACGTTTTTTTAAAAAATAATTAACAGTTTCCACATATAATTTGAAAGTACGAACTGCGTAAATGATAATAAGTCCTGGTTAGAAAATATAGGAGACATATTTAAATGTCTGATATCCATTCTTGCAGAATGAAGACCTGAAAATTGTCAGTTGTTGACTCCCTTATTGTGTAGATTTTTATAGATTTACCGATCGATCAAAATGACTTAAATGAAGCAATAAAGAGAATAGAAGATGCTATTTACACAACCAAAACAGTTACATATGTATGACCATAACGAGAACCAAGTATGAACACAGAAGGAATTTGCAGAGTAGCTGTAGGTGTTTTTAGCTCAAGAAATTCGTGAGGAATGTATTGTGCGTTGTTAAACCGTGTGTTTGAAGCAAAGCACCTGCCATCCATTTATAGGAGGATTTGTTGTGTGTTAAATGGGGTGTTAATGGACCTGAACGTTGGACATCAATGACCTGTCCGTTGGGCATTGAATCATCCATAAACAGTCCATTTAACGTTGCATTAAAAGACAAGAATGTTGGGCATGTAATGGCTGTATCTTTGAATGATAGGTTTTCGGACGACATTCGTGTCCGCAGGTCGCCCGCGCACACGAGTCGCGGTTTTTCTTCTCCGTTTCGGGATTTGATCGGCACCCCCCAAACTGCACGTAAGAGAGAGCCTTTACCCTTAGGAATCTTAACTCCTTAAAAGAGGCTTCCCTTTATAAGGGGGTGAAAATCCCTTGAGTTTTTCGGTGTGGGATAAAACACACTAGAAACCCATCATTTTCCCAGTTTTTCCATTTCAACGAGTGAACTTCGAGAATCAATTTCTCATTCACCCGTTATCCGTTTTGAGCGTACCATATATCGAATTGTAGCCCTTAACAAGGACAATCCGAAACCACTTTAACCCGACCCAAATCGGAAGTGGACCCCACTCAAATAATTGCCTCAAAAAGACCATTTAATGCAATTTTTAACACATTTTTCCAACACGTCGTACAAAGCATCATGCAGCCCGTTCAACACGTAGTTTCGGCAAAGGAAGTCAGAATGCTTCCAAGCTTCAACCGCGTTGAAAGATTGTGCATCCATCTCACCCCCGGTTGCTACCGGTGCATCTTCGGTCAAGAATCTAGCAAGACCGAGAGTAGTGAGGTAAAATAGCATCTTTTGCTGCCACCTCTTGAAGTTTAACCCGTTGAATTTCTCGGGTTTCTCCACAGAGTTGCTTGGCACGGTCACCATAGGGATAGCCCTTTGGTTGGCCAAAGTAGATGCACCGCGTTGTGAACCATTGTTCACCGGTGCTCCACTTTCAGAGTGATTGTCGTTCAGAACATTCTGTCCAACACCAATCTCGTTTTCTTGAGAAGTCATTTTCGTTCTTTAACGTTTTTTCGAAAACACAAAAAAAATAATTTCGCTCACCAAAGTGACAAACTACGATTTAAGATTGTTTACCACAGTAGAACGATCAAAAAATACGTTTTAAGATTGTATCCGTATGATACAAGCTCAACAAATACGTTTTAAGATTGTTGGGTGTGTTTCGGAAAATAAAGATAATTAATTAAAATAAATTAAATAAATAAAATGACTAGAGAAAAACAAGAAAGGAGATGAAGCAGAATTAGTCAAAGCTCGTGCTACGCACGATTTCCTTAAAACGTATTTGTTGCCTCTCACGGTGCTAGGAGCGTTGCAACAATCGTTTCCTAGGATACGATGACTACGAACTAATGTTTGAGCACACAAACAAGAGTTCCAGCGAACGAGAACCAAGTATGAACACAGAAGGAATTTTGCAGAGTAGCTGTAGATGTTTTTAGCTCAAGAAATTCGTGAGGAAAGTATTGCGTGTTGTGTCAAACCGTGTGTTTGTTGCAAAGTACCTGTCAGCCCTTTATAGGAGGATTTGTTGTGTGTTAAATGAGGTGTTAATGGACCAGAACGTTGGACATCAATGACCAGTCCGTTGGGCATTAAATCATCCATAAACTGTCCATTTAACGTTGAATTAAAAGACAAGAAAACACGGTATTCGGAACGTTATATTCCGATTGAAAGCATGAGGAGAGAAGTGTTCTGACAAAACAAGTTGTTCGGAATGATGATTCCCTAATGCATTTTAATTAAAAAAATAAAGCATGGTCTGTATAGCTCCAGTCCAAGTTTCTAAGCAACGCCCCACATGCCACATATAGTATAATACGGTGTAATAATAAACTTATATGGAGTAAAACTCATACGTAATAAAATACGTACTTAGTAATACATAGTACTATATACGGAGTATGACTTATTTTTAATCTCATTTTTACGTAGTCTCAAAATAATCTTACATTTACACATCATCTTCTTTTATTGGTCCATGATCGGTTGATGACTTGCTGTACCAGATTTTATGCATTTTCTTTCAAAATTTTACGTAAATAATCATATTTTTCACCGATCTTCTTAAAACACACTCCTAAAATCAATTTTCCCTTTTCTTATTACAAATTTTCTATTTTTGTTTTTATCATCTCGACAACTTTTTTCTTTCTTCATCTTCTTATTATTTTATTTATTTTTATTCTACCTTATGAAAAACTTTATTTTGCTCAGAAAAGGCCATTCTGAATGGATTGAAGAAAAAAAGCCATCCGAAATGGGTGAAGGGGAAGGAGAAGAAGATGTGTAGGAGATAAAAACACGACGGTCCTAATTTGGAATTTTGAAATATTTTTACTCCTATTCCAGAAATTTCCCAAAAAATTAGAATGAATTTCATTTAATAAATGTATTTCAAAACTACCTATGTAGTACCTACTAGTAGTATTTTAATGGAAGACGTACGGGTGGTAATAAAAATTAAAAAAAAAATCTATGTTTTGGGATCGGAATCCGAATGGACTTCTTTAAAAAATAAAAAAAGTTCGTTTGGAATACTCATTTCTGAATGAATTCGTACAAAAGAATAAAAAAGTTCATTTCAAATACATTATTCCTGAAGAGCCGCATTCCCTAAACTTACCCTAATTCATTCGGAAACCTAAATTCCAAATAGCTTAAACTTAGAAAACCTATAAAAAATCCAGCCTTTTTGCATTGTGTTGGTCCCGTTTGTAATGGAAACAGTCTAGAGGGGGGGTGAATAGACTGTTTTAGGAATTTAAACTTTTCTCCAAGTCAAGTCTGACTTCACAGAGATGGTCCAAATCTGGTGACAGAGATGGTCAAGTTCTGATGACAGAACTAGACCAGGCAGCGGATAAGTTTCTGTCCGGGTAGCCTCTAGAAGAAAGCTAAGGCAATGTGCCTTTCTGATAACTCTGAAGGAAGATCTGCTGGACACAGAGTCCAACCTTAAGAGTTAGTCAGTAGAATCTTAAGTGCAGGAATTAAAAGCTTAAAGTAAATGACACCGGGGTTTTTATAGTGGTTCAAGGAACAACTTGTTCCTCTAGTCCACTGTTCCACTAAGCTTATAAAAACAACAATTTACAACGCCTTAGTCCCTAGAGCTTAAGAAGCACTCCTCGTCTTCTTCAAGTCTAGTTGCCACCCGG